AAACTAAAATCTTTTTAAATCTCTTTCGTCTGACATTGTGATACACATGTATTTCAATAAACTGAAGAGCTAATCTGAATTTGATTTTTCGAACATATGGCAACCCTCCTAAATAATTGAATAATTTGAATGTATCTTTTTAAACACCTAGCAACGCTCTTCAAACATTCCAAATGGTCAAACTAAAGATTTCCTAACATTCCTTCGTTTGACTACGGTATTTTTATATTTCATATACTTTTTGTCCCTCGGCAGGCAATGGCAAACCTCCGAGTGTATTTCTGCCATGAAAAACAGCTTCTCACAAAAATACAATTGCCGTTCGGAGTCGGCGTAAAACTGTAGGTCCCTCCGGTTTGTGTGACAACATCAAGGCGCACGCCACAAATCGGAGGAGAAGCTCGGCCAAACACTAACATATGTGTAAGCGCCAATCTATTATTATACTTTTTGTATTAGTTAATTGAGTAAGACCTTTCAAACTGGTGGCAGCCCTATTCAAAAGTGTTTTCTAGCTTTATCCTTGTTAACTCTCCTTCGCCTGACATCGCGATACATATTTTAATTAACTGATAAATTTAGTGGAATTTGATTTTTTTAAAGATGTGGCAGCCCCCTAAGTACAGTTCAGAAATAAAAGTATTTCAAACCCCCTTCGATTGATACCCATATTTTAGTAATTCATTACACTTATTAAATAATTTGTATTTAACTTCTTAAACAGGTGGCAATCCTTTTTCAACACCTGAAAAATATTCTTAGCGTTCAATCTAAAGACTTGTCAACACTCCTCGTTTGACATCCATATTTTGATGTCCCATATAACTTGTGTATAAGTAAACTAAATTCGATATTTCAAGCAGGTGGCAACCCTCTTCAAAATATTTTCAAACTACTACTTTCTGAAACCCCTTTCGTTTGGTACCCATAGGGTGGTACATATTTTTCTTACCTAATATGATTTTTTAAACAGGTGGCAACCCTCCTATAGTTCAGTTAAGAAACAAAGCTTTTCATAGCCATTTCGGTTAATAATACCCATTTTGTAATAATTTAGTTTTTGTTATAATTTGAATATAAGTTTTTAAAGGTGGCAACTCTTTTCGAAAAAGTAAAACCGATTCTTGTGCGGACGGTTCAAATCGCAGCTCACAACGTCCGGATATTTATATCCACGTATCCTGTGGGTAGCAACCTAACACCCGCTGGAGAGCGAGCTAAAGTAAGAAGGCATAAAACTTCGCGTGCGCTGGGTTTGGGTCCCTCCACGTTAAAACCCCGCCCAATGAAAAAGAACAAACCGCCTCGGATGAGACCCCTTTTTTTGATGACGACCACGGCAAACGTATAAAGGACTGTGATTTAAGGGTATGCACCTGGAATATCTGGACCCTTAATGGGGAAGGTGCCTCTGCCCGGCTGGTTGATGTTCTCGGGAAGACGAAGGCTGACATCACCGCCATCCAAGAAATGCGATGGACGGGGCAAGGAAAAGTAATTGTGAAGCCTTGCGACGTCTACTACAGTTGCCACGTAAAGAAGCGCAAATTCGGTGTTAGATTCGTGGTAGGAGAGAGACTCCGTCGCCGAGTACTGGCGTTTACCCCGGTGGACGAACGTCTAGCCACAATCCGCATCAAAGCTAGATTCTTCAACATCTCGCTCATCTGCGCCCATGCCCCGACGGAAGAGAAGGATGAGGCATCCAAGGATCTCTTCTATGAGCGCTTGGAGCGCACGTACGAGTGCTGCCCCCGCCACTATATAAAAATCGTGCTTGGCGACTTCAATACCAGGGTGGGCAAGGAAGGGATTTTTGGAACCACCGTCGGAAAATTCAGCCTCCACGACGAAACGTCCGACAACGGATTGAGGCTGATCGACTTCGCCGGGGCCTGAAACATGGTAGTATGCAGTACTAGGTTCAAGCATAAAAAGATCCATCAAGCTACGTGGCTGTCTCCGGATCGAAAAACGAGAAACCAAATCGATCATGTTGTGATAGACGGAAGGCACGCTTCCAGTGTTTTAGACGTACGCACACTCCGAGGTCCAAACATCGACTCGGACCACTATCTTGTTGCAGCCAAGATACGCACGCGCCTCTGTGCAGCAAAAAATGTGCGCCCAAATATGCAAGGAAAGCTTAACGACGAAAAGCTGCAATCACAACAGACAGTCAGCGCTTTCGCTACTCGACTCTCACACCTGCTCTCAGAGAGCACTCTTCAAACAAACCGACATATGCGAGCAGTGGAACCACATTTCCCGCTCATTAAGTACCGCCGCCGAAGAAGTAGTCGGATTTCAGCGAGCTCGAAAGAACAACTGGTACGATGAGAAATGTCAAGAAGCCGCAGAGAAAAAAGACGCCGCCTATAGGGCCACGCTGCGATCGGGTGCAACGCGAGCCATGTGGGACCGTTATAGGGAACTGAAGAAGGAAGCGAGACGTATGTGCCGCAATAAGAAAATGGAGGCCAAAATACGTGAGTGCGAAGAGCTTGAAATGCTAGCCGACAGGAAAAACGCCGGAAAATTTTACCAGAGGGTTAGGCGACTTACGGAAGGTTTCAAGACCAGGGCGAACTCCTGTAAGAACAGCAATGGCGACCTAGTGACCGATATCCAGAATGTACTTACATTATGAAGGGAACACTCTTCCTCCCTACTGAATGGTAGCACCGCTGAAATTAGTGGAGAAGACGAACCCGAGCCCCCAGTCGATGACGTTGGAGTCGATGTTCCACCACCTGACTATGACGAGGTACGAAAAGAGATAGCGCGCTTGCAAAACCAATAAAGCTGCTTGAGCTGACAGCCTGCCAGCTGAGCTATTAAAGTACAGTGGCGAGGAAGTACGAGCAGCAGAACTGAACCGCTCAGGCACAATACTTTACAAGAGCGTACAATTGCCGGCGTATGCCGACGACATCGATATTATCGGTAAAAACAAGGGCTACGTCTTTTCTGCCTTCTCGGGATTGGATAGCGAAACAAAGCGAATGGGTCTGGTGGTGAACGAGGACAAAATGAAGTTACTCCTGTCATCCCACAAACAGTCAGAGCATACGCGTCTTGGCACCCACGTCACTGTTGACAGTTACAAGTTTGAAAAAGTGCACGACTTCGTTTATTTGGGAACCAGCATTAACACCAATAATAATGTCAACCTTGAAATCCAACAGAGTATCACTCTTGCCAACAAGTGCTACTTTGGACTGAGGAGGCAATTGAAAATTAAAGTCCTCTCTCGTCGTACAAAGATCACACTCTATAAGTCACTCATCATGCCTGTGCTGGTGTATGGCGCGGAGGCATGGACAATAAAAAAAAATGTGATGAAGCGACTCTTGGAGTTTTCGAGAGAAAGATTCTGCGAAAGATTTACGGACCTTTACGCGTTGGCCATGGCGAATAACGCAGACGATTTAACGATGAGCTGTATGAGCTTTACAACGATATAGACATAGTGCAGCGAATTAAAATTCAGCGGCTCCGCTGGCTTGGCCATGTCGTTCGAATGGACAGAAACGGTCCTGCTCTGAAAGTATTCAACGTGGGCCGCGATGCTGGTAACAGAGGAAGAGAAAGGCCTCCTCTGCGTTGGAAAGACCAGGTGGAGAAGGACTTGGCTTCACTTGGCATTTCCAGTTGGCGTCAGTTAGTACAGAAGAGAAATGACTGGCGTGCTGTTTTGGACTCGGCCAAAATCGCTTAGGCGGTTACAGCACCAACAAAGGCATTCCCACGACAGCCGGTTCTACGTACCGGAATGACTCGGGCTTTACCCGACCAAGGGCTGTTGTTTCGGCGATCTAACCCCGTTTAGGTCGGAGAAGTATCTCAGAAGTTATTCGTCCATAGGGCTACATTCACTACGTATTCTTCTACTCAGGGCTGGCATCGAGTCAAACCCAGGGCCAGAAATCTACACCTGCTGCGTATGCCGGAGACGACTACACCACAACTCCACCTCTGTCAAGTGTAATGCCTGCGAGGGGTGGAGTCACCTTAGAGTCTGCTCAGGACTACGGACACACCGACAGTGGACCACGTCGTACGTGGCCCCCTGTTGCTCAAACAGAGCAGCCTCCACGGCCAACCTCAGTCCACCCGAGCAGCCTCACACAGTCACCACAACACAACAACATAATAACACCACAGACCATA